AAAAAAAACGAAATGATAGAAAAAGAAAAATGGACTGCGTGACAACGTTTTCTCTCGTTTGTTATACCTTTTTTATATGATATTATTTGATTTCGTTTTCTGTTTATCTATCTCGTTTTAAAACAAAGAATAACGTCAGTCAATTAACAACAAGTTAAAAAGAAACATTGCAATGAGATACTTCGTTTTACTTCTCTTATGAAAAGAAAACGTAATAGAGTAAATAAAAGCGAATTATCTACAAACAGAACTAATTCTTTTTTTTTTCTTTTCCATTCGAGACTCTTTCCTACGAAGTTATTTGATGCCCTTTTACGTCCTAACGAGTTTTGTATTTGGAGACTAGACTAATAAGAATTTCGACCTCCTCACTACGAAATAATCTTAACACCCTTCTGTGGTAAGGGAGTAAGAATGCTACGTGACTTGAAAGATAAATGAATAGTCGTTAATAAAAAAAAAAAACAATACAACCAAAATTTAACGAAACAAAAATGATATATAAATGATGTATAAAAATAAAAATAAAGTAAAAAATCCTAACGATAACATGATATTTTATCAAGAAAATGTTAGAGATAAAAAGTGCATTAACGAAATCTCTCTTTCTCTTTTTCTTTCTCATTTTAAAAGCACTTTACATAGGAACGATGAATAATAAAACAATCGATTCATTGAAAATTCATCGTTTAACACAGGCACGCCGTTTTCCTCGCTTTTGCGGTGTGGATATATGCTTTATCCTTGTCTCTACCACCCCTTTTCGGTTGGGGAAGTTACGGTCCAGAAGCTGGTAACGTATCCTGCAGTGTGTCATGGGAAGTTCACGATTCTGCTACGAACAGCGACAGCTATATAGGATTTCTATTTACTCTAGGACTTGTTTTACCAGTTGTTATTATAGTAACAAGTTATTTCGCAATATTAACAACCACGATAAAAGTTGAAAGAAAAGCCGGTAGGAAGTTAGAAAATAATATTACAAAAATATGATTTATTCATCTTCTTGTCTATTTATTTATTCATTTGATATTTACAGGTGCCAGAGGAAGACGAGAAGCTAAAGTTACGAGAATGGTAGCACTGATGATAAGCGCATTTCTCATCGCATGGTCACCTTATGCTGCACTTGCATTAGCGGCACAATACTTCAACGTAAGTTCAATGAATAAGCAAATCGATGAAAGAAATGATAAAAAAAAAAAAAAAAATAAGAAAAAATATAGATATGAATGTTGTTAAGGTAGAAAGATTTGTGTGTCTCAGGCGAAGCCGTCACCCTCCGTGGCTGTATTACCAGCTCTCCTAGCAAAGTCTTCCATTTGTTACAATCCTATCATTTACGCTGGATTAAATACTCAATTTCCACGATCTTTGAAAAAGATACTTGGTATTCGTGATATTGGTGTTGGCACGAATGGCAGTCAACAGACTGCTTTGACCACGTTCGTCAACAAACAAGAACAGAAGCACTGAAAACGGCTAATCGGAATCCTGGATAATTTTGGATTTCGAATACATATCACTCGTGAATATTGTAACTCGAATAAGATTAATATTATTTTTTCTAAATTTAGTACATATGTTTATATTATATATCTACAAATATATCTTTATATTAATTACGTATATATACATATTTGGATTAACGTTTTTATCATTTTCGTTTTATCGATATGTTCTTTATTTATTTCTCACATTATTGTAATTTGTAATATATTTTTTAGCAACAGTTAGAATACAATTTATATGTCTGTCTTTTATGACAGACCAATTAATGAGTTTTATAATGAAATATTTGTTTCAATTAATTTTGCTTATTTCTCCGTGTATATATATATATATATATATTTATAATTATAAATATTATTAAAAAGAAATAATATATATGAATGAACGTTATTCGTAATGAGCATATAGAAAACAGCAATATTAATTGTTTCTCGCTCCTTGTGTTTTTCAAGAGACGTACGCATTCGACACGATTCTTTCTAAATGTATAGCTAATGTATATGATAAACACGTAAAAAGGATCAACCGCTAAGACTCGTTTATCCATAGGCACTATAGAGAGAAACGTGAGATGTTTTCATAATACGAAAGGTTCCAAAAACATCGTCGAGTGCTTTTGCTTTGCCAAATGACTATTTAAAAAATATAAGCTAAATAATTTCAAACATTGCAGTAAAAAAGTTCACAGAGACGTAAATTTTTTAGATTAAATTTTATTTGCAAAAAAAAAATCACATATACTTCTCCTTAAAATTGGATTTATATAAAATAATTTTATATAACAATTTGAGAATAAATTTATTTTGAATATTACATAATTAATCCTTTGAATGCTCTAAATGCATATATGCGTTTGGTAAAAATAAAAAATTATAATTATATTCAAAAATAATTATTAAATATAATTTATTATTAAAATCTGATTAATAATAAATTATTCTATTCCTACAAAACATTTTAGATAAAAGTATTCAGCACTCAAAGGGTTAATATTATTGTCTGGAAAATGAAAGATTTAATTATATTTAAAACAAAAAAAAAAGAAAAAGAAAATTTCTATTTCTAAAATATATTAGATTTTTCATTGTTTGATAATGGCGTGGATTGATATTTTAAGGATAAATAAAAAATATTCAAAGAGAGAAAATCCTTCGACCATTGTTAACCGAAGATTTCGTATTTTTCACCTAGTACTTAGAAAATGAATCTCAAGTAACAACAAGAACACCATTGTACAATATTTTTACCATCCGCTATTTGAAATAAAAGAATTGCGCAGTAGAAAGAAAAAGAGAGATGAAGAGAATCACGAAATCAATTTCACCGTCGTGCCATTTTCATTCCCATTGCGATAATTCCCTGCTATTTCCCCTCCCCCACCGTTTTCATACGTCGTAAACAGCAAGTGCAAGCGAATCAGCAAACAAAGTTGTACGAAATGAACAATCACAAGTCGAAACACGTGCGATTATATCACACACCATAGTAGAAAATGGAGTGAAATCATAAGAAAAATGTTTACGACCGGCAACGTCGTTACCACTTTCCTTCTTACATCCCCTAAAATCTGAAAAGGATATTTCAAGCAAAAGAAATCTACCCTTACTAATAACTTACGCAAGATTTCTTTTCGGGAAAAAAAAAAAAAGAAAATTTTTTCAAGTAAAGAAGAAGAAAGAAAAAGTAGTAAAAGAAGAAGTTGAGGGTCGAAAGTAAAAGAAAAAAATTTATTTCTTTTTTTTTTCTTTTTCTTCGTCCCATTCTTTCCCCACCTCGCATCCCCTATACATACGCACGCATATCGACGTCCTGTCCAAGTTTCGCTATACAATTGGCACAATCACTTTTAGTCGTGATCGTAATATTTTATTCGTACCTACCGACTAGCTAAAGTAACGTAAGCAACATGAAATTCTTTTCTTTTTTTGTTTTGTTTTCATTTATCAAATGACACGATTTGCTAAATAGAAAAAAAAAAAAGGAACTCAATAAAAATTTGACGAGTATCGTAACTACAAGAATCTCTTATTACAAATGCAAAGTGAATGAGAAGAAATAGAAGAATATATTATGATGGCCTCGAGGGTATTCCACTTTCTCATGACACGTCAAAACTTCAAATATTAAAGTGACGATGAGTGAACCTAAAAAAACCGGTATCATCCAAATACTAATTTGCATTCGTATATTTTATATTCTTTAGTGAAAGTAAAATTCGTTTCTTTTTTATTAAGAAGTTATATCTACTGATGACATAATTAAACTGATTATTATTTATATTTTACAATTAATTTTTTTATTAATTTTTTTTTAATTATTAATTATTATTTAATTTAATTATAAATATTATATGTTTTATATTATATTATATATTTATTATATAATTATAATTACATTAATTATTAATTTTTAATTAAATTCTACAATTATATATTACAATTAAAATGATATAATATGATGATTCGTATTTTTTTTTTTTTAACTTATTTTATATTATATATCATACAATATTCAATCGCGTGGTATGTTTTTTATTATGAAAAGAAAAGTTTAAATTTTCAATGTTACGCTTTCCCTCTTTCCATGAATTTTTCTGTCAATATTTTTTTTTTTGCAATGAGCACCGTAGTTTAAATATTGATTCAAATGTTTAAATATTAATCCTACAATATCTAGGTAATAATTAATTTTGCAATGATACTATCTGAATAATAATAATAATAATAAAGATCTTAAAGTATAAAATCAAAATTCATAAACCATCGAATTATAATTACGCATTAAATTAAAAAACACTTTCACTTTCTTCGAGATAAATAAGAAACTTGCATAAATCGGAATACATGATTTTGTAATAGATGAATTTTACTGAGAGGTAAAGTGCATTAACCTTATACCACATGGAAATCAATCACGTGGTTAAACTTCACGGCGTAGTAAAAGAGCAGAAAAAGCCATTTAATCGAATACGAGATTAGTTTTTCGCGCATAACCATGACATTTGAAAACTAAAGAGTACATATAGAAAACCGGTTAGATAGAGTTGATCATACGAGATCCTTTACACGTATATATATATATATAAAGAACTTCTTCTTGCATAATTTTATTTTCTTTAGATCTATAAGTCGATTATCAGATTTAAATTGTCTTTACTAAAAAAAAATAAAGAAAATCCTGAAATACCTTATCTGACGTTACATATGTACATACATCATCGATTGATCGAATATGTAAGACTTATGAAAATTTCAAGGAAATCCTTATATACCTTAATAAACCATACATATGTACATACATAATCGATCTATCAAATACGTATGACTCGTAATGAAAACAAAACTAACAACGAAAGTACAATAAAATATTAGTCCCCTTTTCGAAAAGTAAAGTACACGAAAGTAATAATTGTTTGTAGAGTTGTGAACAAAAAAAAAATTAATAAAAATAACAATTTCAATCGCGTTACGATCGAGAAATCAACTCGAGTAAACCAAACACATGCAACGAAAGAAAGAGAGAGAGAGAGATCTCTCGTTAAAAGTTTCTTACAACTTGGAAAAATACTTTCCTTATCTTTAGAGCGTAAAACAATATGATGGAAGAAGGAAGTAAGGAAGTAAATAAAAAAGGAAAGAAGGAAGAAAGGAAGGTAGGAAAGAAGATAAATTATAAGAAATACAAGAATGGTCATGGACAAAGTTACTTTCACAATAATTGTAATGAAACTTTACAAGTATACCAAGTCCGGATATAACATGCAAACTAATTCGTGTGTAAGAAATAAAGTATCTTACGGTTTACGATCTATCGTGGATTCATCGATCCGTACCCAATGTTTGCAACGAATTCTAATTATAATCTTTCATTTTATCACCCACGCTATTCTATCGCTAGTATAGCAACGATCATTCATTTTCACCGTTCGCTGATCTTATACTACTCGAGGAAAATAATAACAACAACGATATTTACAAGTATAACTTTATCGTTATTTCTTTCTATCCTTATTTCTTTCATTTTTCACATGTATGTATAACATATGTGCCAAGAACTTTTTCTTTCTTTGGTTTCCTCTAAAACTCTTCTATGTAGAAAGGTGGCTGAGATAAAACGAGTAGAAAGTTAGACGGGGATAAAACCCCTCGTCGTTCACCTAAAACGATTCTCCTCGACATTGTTCTTAGTAGTAGTGTCGACGTTCCAAGAACACACTCTCTTATTATTCCAAGAGGAGAAAATCGTGATTGGAAGTCTAATCATTAGACGACCACGACATTATAATAAGATTGATATACCCGTGTAAAAAATATTTTTTTAATTTCTTTTCTTTTTAGATACAAAATTTAATTATCTTGCACTTTATAGATTTATCTATGTGTGTATATAATATATATATACAGGGTAGGTCACCACATTTTATCATCTAGATTTACGTTATTATTATTACGCGTAGCAGACAATGTTTTACATGGAGTTGAATGGCTTTGAAAGGGGTTCATACTGATGGTACTTTTTTTTTGTAGGTGGACGTGTAAAGGACATATGAAGGTCATTAATATTTTTTTAAACGGAATCATATATTTTTTATTGCATCATCTGATGCTCTTTCATATTATTTACAAAAAAGTATTAACCTATTTATGTAAAAAAATTATTACTTTAGGAGATATTTTAATTTTTATGTCTCTTTACAAAAAAGGTTCAATGTGGCGATCATTTGCATCTGAACACTTTCTAAATCGAGAAATTAATAAAAATTAACGTTTCTTAATGTATCTGATGTTATTTTCTTGCATTCATTGACGATACGATCCCTCTTATCGGCCATTGTAGTCGGAGGCTCAGTGTAATATTATAGGCCAATAGATTTCCTCAACGAAATACTCCGTCACGTCGTACCTTTGATAATATTTTTTAAAAATTTCACCAGACAGGGCAATTAGTACGCAAAAAGGCAATTCGTAATAAAACAATAACAAATGAGGAAATCGAAATTGCAGTGTTAGCCGTAGTTACGATAAATCCATCCGTTAGCTCTCGCGAAATCGAAAGACAAGCTGGAATTAGCCGCAAAATAATTGTACGCATACTGATAAAGCACAAATACCATTCATATCATGTATCAAAGGTTCAAGAACTGACCGCAAATGGCTATTATCAACGTTTAGAATGTTGTAATTGGGCTCTCACTCAAAGAAAAAACTTTTTCAGCAATGTTATGTTCACGGACGAAACAACGTTTACGAAAAATAGATCAATGAATTCAAGAAATGCCCATTATTGGTCAACGGAAAATCCTTATTGATGTAGACAAATGGATAATCAACATCGATGGAGTGTAAATGTTTGGATGGTCATACTCGACATTTTTAGACGATTTACCATTGCATACACGACAAATAATGTGGATACAACAGGATGGTTGCCCTGCTCATTATTCAAGAATAGCAAAGGATACATTAAATCAAATGTTCCCAAATCGTTAGATAGGACGGGGTGGGCCCATTCATTTGCCGGCTAGATCACCAGATCTAACGCCCTTTGACTTGTTTCTTATGGGGCCACTTAAAAAATAAAGTTTACGCTGAGCCTCCGACTACAATGGCCGATATGAGGGATCGTATCGTCAATAAATACAAAAAAATAACATCAGATACATTAAGAAACGTTAATGAGTCATTAATTTCTCGATTCAGAAAGTGTTCTGATGCAAATGATCGCCACATTGAACCTTTTTTGTAAATAGACATAAAAATTAAAATATCTCCTAAAGTAATAATTGTTTTACATAAATAGGTTAATACTTTTTTGTAAATAATATGAAAGAGCATCAAGTGATGCAATAAAAAATATATGATTCCGTTTAAAAAAACATTAATGACCTTCATATGTCCTTTACACGTCCACCTACAAAAAAAAAGTACCATCAGTATGAACCCCTTTCAAAGCCATTCAACTCCATGTAAAACATTGTCTGCTACGTGTAATAATAATAACGTAAATCTAGATGGTAAAATGTGGTGACCCACCCTGTGTATATATATGTACATCTTTTGATAGGATCGATAAATCGATCTTGATTATACGTCTCCGTAGACTAAACCTAATCCGATCGTCGATTAAGTCTCAAGTATTGGCTACAATTGAATCGGCTTATCCCAAGGAAGATACGAGGACCCTTATTCGAAGTAGTAGCATTTGATGACAATGCGATTGAAAACATCTCGTAGCAAGGATTCAATCGTGCGAGAAATAACGGTACGACGCCATCGAAGCCAGTGAAATCTGCCCTAATTCTTTCATATTGCCGTTTCGCCTTCCTTATTCTTCTTCTTCTTCTTCCTCTTCCTCTTCATCGTCTTTACTTTCTTCCTTCCAACCAATCAACCTACTAGCACGCTCACTCTCTCTTTCCCTTTCTTTTATTTTCTCTCTCTCTCTCTCTTATTTTATAAATTCGATTTTTTTATTTATTCTAATGAAAGAGAGATACAAATCGATTAGAATTTTTGTTTTTACAGTTACGAATGAATATTTATACAACAAAATTTATTTTTATAACTCACATTCCACTCATTTACTTTTTTCCAATTTATCTTTGGGAGTTGATTCATAGTTGAAGTAAAAGTTGCAAAATTTTGTTCTCTCTCTTTCTGAAAAAAAAAAAAAATAATAAAAATAAAGTGAAGGTACCAATGTAAAAATCTGTTCGTGATTCGAGATGGTGCCATTCGATTGGCTTTCCTCACCTTACTTCAGTACCTTTCTCTCTTTCTTTCTTTCTTTCTACCTTTCTTTCTTACTGACTTTCTTTTCTCTTGTTTATTATCAACTACAAATTTTTTCATCATTTAATGAATACTAATGAAAAATGACAATTCTTAAAACAAAAACATCACGTCTTCGAAACGAGATTGCGAATAAGGTAATGTTTTGGTGGGAGGCAAAACGTTCTCTCTTCTTTTCCTCCTCTCCTCTCCTCTCCTCTTTCATTCTTTCTTTCCCCCTTTTTGAGCTTAGCTGATCATTAAGGCAACCGTTGGTCAGTCAAACTTTCACGCTCCACGATATTCGAACGTCCTCGTCCGGTCTCTCGTGCGATCGCGTTAATTTATTGAGTCAAGTTCATTCGTTAAACTTGAAAACGGGATTCTTAGTAGTGAGAAAATTTTCTTACGTTTATCATTCTGATAACATATTTTTGTTCTTTTTATTCCAAACATACGATTTAATTATTACAAATGGTGTTAGTATATTATAATGATAAATAAATGAATAAATAAATAATGAAAAACATCGTAGAAGAATTCGTAGTATCGCGTTTATGTTGATAAAAAAGATAAAGTAAAATTTAATTGAGGAATGAAAAAAAAGGGAGTGTCAGCCGAAAAAGAAAAAGGGGGTCGTCAAACGTACGATCTTTCAGGTCAACAGGTTTGATCACGATAAACGGGAAAAACTTTAGCTTAGACTTAAGACGATAAGTGCCATTAGTGAAAGTCTCAGCGTGGGTTAAAAGTACGGGAACGTCATTGGGTTTTGTCAGCTGACGCTTCTCAATCAAAGAGGAGAACAAGAGAACGAGAAAGTCTCATACGTTTTAGAGTTTGTTCCAGTGATCGACTGAACGATAATTGAAAAGAAGATCGATACAAGAATATCCCCCACTCTCTGTCTCTGTCTCTCTCTTTGTAAATTTTTGGTTCTTTTTTTTTTTGTGAAAAAATTCAATAACGATATGGAAAATGAGATAAAATTTGGAGGACCATTACACATGAATAAGCGAATAACACAAAAGGATCCTAAAACGATCTCTTTGAACTAGAAGAAACTTATTCCGCTTGACTGATCATCTTTTGCACGGTGAAAGGAAGAAGCTGAGACGATAAAAAAAAGAAACAGACAAAAAGGAACCGTTTATTTCTCTATGCTAAATCGTCGACATAGATATTCAAATATATGTACCTTAAAATTAGTTTGGTGTCATGAATGAATACCTAATGAGAATATCGTCTTGAATAAATAGTCAAGGTTCGATTTTTTTGTTTTTTGAACAAAACTAACATTAGTTCCAGTATCAAACTGGCATATCTTTCTATCGAATAAATATCAATAGTTTTCAATGCAAATTAGTATTAAAATAACAAGTGGATAATTCTTTGAAATCGTTTTAGAAACGGTTCTTCCAAGACCACATATTATGCCGAATATTTCGAATAAAAAGAAGCTGAGTTGGAAAATTGAACGGAGTATTGGAGAGATGTAGGTTGAGTCGATTCGAAAGTGAGACACACAGATCCTACCTTAAATATCTTTAAGTAGTTCACAAATTTTGTAGTGTTTTCAAAGTGACATTCGAAGACAGTTGGTATGTTGAATCGAACGAAGACGAATTATCTGCAAGTTTAAAGAAAGAAAAGAAAAAACAATAAAAAACCCCAAGTGATAAATCAACAAATCAAAGATGAGAACTATACTTACAATTACAACGCTGTGTTGCGTTATACAATTCGCATTTAGTTACAATATTCTATTAGCAACTATGGGTGGTACGAAATCTCATACGGTACCATTCATTGCTCTTGGTAACGCTTTAAAATTACGAGGTCACAATGTAACCCTCGTAAGTGCATTCACAGGACCAGGAATTAACAACGGACTTAAAGAATTGGTACCAACGATTCTCGAATCTTACGTACACAATTACACAGCTGAGTGGGATCTAGTGGGTGCCAGATTCCGCAATGAACTTCCACTTTCGCCTTGGAACGCTATGAGATACGGTTGGGAGGCGTGCGAGGCTTTACTACAGGACGAGGTTTCGGTCAGTGCTCTCAGAAAACCGGATGGAAGTCTACGCGAACGATGGAACGTTGCCGTGGTCGACGGAGCTTATCCGGAATGTCTCTTGGCAGTTTTACACGAGGAAAATATACCTACGATTATGTTAAATACGGTATATTTATTACTTTTGATTGAAATGTATGATGAAAGTGGAATTACATTTGATCGGAATAAACACATTATCGAAGTATTTCAAATTTGTTTTCGTAGGTTGCTCTTTACACCGGTTCGATGGCAAGACAAGGAAATCCATCACCATGGTCCGTGACACCATATTTTGGGAAAGCATTAACCCAAGATATGAATTTTCTTGAGAGAGTTGTTAACGGTGCTTGCCTAATCACCCTAGAAATCATGTATTGGTATATGATCAGTGTCTATCTACAACCCACGCTTCGAAAGTACTTAGGTAACTTTCTACCTGTCCGATAACAAAGTTTTTGACGTCCTGTCACTTCTCGTTGTTGCACGTCCAATAATAATAGAAAAGAGAGAACAAAAAAAAAAGAAAAGTTAGAGAGAGAAAATAATAATACTTCTTACAGGCGAACAAATCCCAGACGTAAGACATCTGACCTCGGAAATACCGTTGACTTTACAAAACAGTCATTATAGCGTAGCCGATTCCGTACCATATTTGGCGAACGTAGTAAATGTGGCTTGTCTACATTGCAGACCAGCAATGCAACTCAGTCCGGATTTAAATTCTTTCCTACGCCGAGGTAATGTCATTTAATTACCATTTAATTTTTTATAAAAAGAAAAAGATACAAAAAGTCATGCAAAAACTTTACACGTTTAGTATCTACGATAAATGTCTCAAGGTAATAGCTAAAATATATTACAGTCTTGCATAACGATCATTTGAAAATATGCAAACACGAGATTCAAGAAATACCACAATAATATACAAACTTTTAGAATTTTCAAATTGCGATGTAAGTCATTTTAAATTATCCTTCGTGAAAATTATAATTGAAATATTGACCGATATAAGAACATTTGAAAAATCATTTGATCGATAATTTGTGCCAATATATACATATTTAAAGGTTATATGAAAGTTTAAATATTTTACGTATAAAATATTATAATCGTTAAAAAGTAATAAAAGCTTGTCTATATGTGTTCTTAAACATTGATTAAAGTTTAGTCTCGTGTGAATGCAACTCTAGTAAAATCTCCTTTTGCATATTACTATAACCAGTGATTGAGAAACTTCATCAAGTAATAATCCTTAATTGATATTACGTAGCACTTGCAACTTAACAACTTGTCAAGTAAATGAATAATTTTTACATAACGACATATTTTCTTATCTCAAAAATCTGAAACATTTGCATATGTTTCAAAGATAAATTTTCCTATGTTGCACACTTTCGTTTCTTCGTTAATAAATATCTACATTGCGAGATAAAAATGTTCTCGTGAGTATGAATTTTTGTTAAAAAAAAAACAAAAATAAATGAAAAGTAAGAAAGGTTTCCGTCGAACAGGTTTCATCTTCGTCTCAATGGGTTCGTCCGTAAGAGCTTCCGGGATGCCAACAGCCTTGCGTGAAATTTTTGTTGCGGTATTTGCTACATTACCTTACAACGTCGTCTGGAAATGGGAAGGAGGAAAAATAAAGGATTTACCGGTGAACGTTAGAACGGCTGCTTGGTGGCCTCAACAAGAACTTCTCGGACATTCGAAACTTCGAGCTTTTGTTTCTCATGGTGGTCTTTTGTCCTTACACGAAGCAGCTTACCACGGTTCACCTACATTGGTCTTACCTGTTTTCTGTGACCACGATGGAAACGCAGCTCAAGCTGGTAAAGTGTTTAATTTTTAACTAAATACGTCGAATTAACTCGATGGTAAATTAAATGAAACGTTAGTGTTTTATTTCTTAACGCTATTCAAGGTATTTTTCTAAATGTGAACAATGATATGTCTTCCTTAATGAAATGTAAACAATTAGAAAAACAGCTCGAGCGCATTCTCTATTCATCTATTCTGAGCTCTGGGTCATGTTAAACTACGGAACGTAAATTGAAAGCAGAATTTCATCAGAGATTACGTCAAGTAGGACGAATAACAAGAGATAGAGAAATAGAGAAAGGTAGAGAGAGACAGAGAGAGATAAACAGAATAAATGCAAGTTTGAGTTTAGAAACACATAAATCATACGTCGTTTTGTTTAGTTAAAATTACGTATTACATAAACAAACGTACATGCAAGATTTGAAAAAGAATAAAGAGTATCAGTATATTAAGTCACACCTCATTTGAACATGCGAATAATTTTTTAATAACATTAACTCACTTTGTGCTTTTTCTTCTTTTTGGGTTGATTTTCAGAAAAACTTGGTTACGCTTTAGTGATGGACCTTGCCACATTGTCGGTAGGAAGTCTTCGTGAAGGTATACTTAAGGTTGCTGCATTGCGAAACAACACTTATCGAAAGGCTGCAAAAAAACAAAGTATTTTATTACGAGATCTTCCAATTGGTCCGCGCGAGCTTGCCACCTGGTGGGTCGAACACGTTGCAAGACATGGCGAAGCCAATCACCTTAAGAGTACGACGAGGTAATTTTGAAAAATATTTACCGAAGCGTCTGAGTAGAAAGAGAAAAATATATAAAGGTAGAGGTAGAGAGAGGAAGAGAGAAAAATAGAAGGTCTTTGCAATCGTTCACCGCTATGTTGCGAATAAAAATGACAGTAGTGGAGATTAATCGTTGCAAAACGAGCTCGTACATTTTCGATGATTAATAGTTACGTTATTCTTACATATTTTCAGACACATGGGCGTAATGCGTTATTATTCTTTGGACGTCGGTGCATTTTACACAGTAATCATCATAGTGCTGATCTACGGATTAAAACGGTTATGTTGGAGGCAGATAAGGAAACAGGGGACATTCAAAAACAAGATAGACTGATATCGAACCATAGAAAAAAATTTAAACTAATTGAAATTTTATTTATTATGCTATAAGTACCTTACCTTTAAATATATACCTTCATCTATCCTTGATTGTTAACCATATTTAAGAATGAGAACATAAGAGAAAGATGGACGCGTAGGAGGAACCAATAAAGTATTTATGTAAGATCGTTGTGCTCATTTGTTTATCCTAATAAAAAAGAAATCAACTTATGCATTTAGATTGATGCAGTCGAATAGAAAATTTATGAGTCATGGAAGAGAACGGGTTGTTTGAAACGGACGAGTTTGATAAGCGGTCGGTAAAGAAGGAATTACTTCCGGTACAGAGAAAAGAACAACCGTCGGTAAATTAAACGTCGAATGAATCAGGACGCGCACTAGATAATAATTTTCTATCTTTCGTATATTGTTTCCGGTATTGAAAAGCCTCAAGGAATGCAGTTGTAATATGCACATAGTTCGTTTGTGTGTTAGTTTCATTACAGCTACGACTGATAATAATCGTAGATCGTGAAAATTATAAGTACAAGAAGAATCTACGACTTGAATATGTTAATATTTATCTCGGGTTATAAAAAAGTTCTTCCTTTTATTTTTTTTTGTTTGAAAATTTTTCTTATATTGTAATATCAAGTTCTAAAATCCATTTAAATCATATCATTTCTCACCTAATTAAAGTTAATTATAAATAATTCACATAAAAGAAAAATAATCTCCAGGAACAATAGAAATGCATGAAAGAGAATCAAGAAAGAAAAACGCACAAAATGTAAATATAAATAAACGAAGGTGATTCTTTCTTTCTCTGGAGAAAGAGAAAAGCCGGTCCCGAGAAACGTTATAGGTTAACCTTGAGGCTCATCACAAAGCATGCATGATTCGAAATTAACCGTCAGAAACGTTTGAGAGGTTCAACAGGAAACATCTTGGTAGTTTATCAAAAGCTTACGGCAATCTACGGCTTAGGCACTTTATCAAAGGAAGAAAGAGAGAAATTGTTTAGACTTCATATAGATTAAGGCAGAAGAAAAAGGGAAGCCCGTACAGCAAAAAGGGAAAAAAAAACGAGACAGGAAAATAAGGGAACCGAGGTAAGAAAGAAATTCGTTACGGAAACAGGATCGTAGATACTTCAGGTGCCATTACGTACGCTATCTAATATCGAACAATTCAAAAATATTTCATCTCACGTTTCCCATAAAAATATGTACGTAAAATAATCGATTATCTTTTTTTTTCAAATTGATATACAAGATATAAATAATTAAATTAGATTAAATAATAATGGAAAGGGTAATAATGAAAAGGAGTAGGGCGACGCGATTGCATAAGTACGGTATATAATTAGTTAAGGGCTACGCACGAGTGGCGGCGCATATGTCGAATTCCTAAATAAAAGAACAGGAGAAAAAGAGAGAGATAGGGTGGGGACAAAGAGAGAAAGAGAGAAAGAAAGAAAGAAAGAAAGAAAGAAAGAAAGAAAGAAAGAAAGAAAAATAGAAAGAGATAGAGAAAAGCCACGAGGGCCTAACGGTGGACGTTTTTGGTAGAACGTATCGCAAATCTCGTATTGTCGTTTCAGAATCGTTCTCGTAGTCCGTTGACGTTTACTAATCGTTCCACGTTCTCTCAGTGGTGTTTAAAAACAACAAAAAATAAATTTAAAAAACTGAAACAAAGGAAAGAAAGAGAGAGCGAATGAGCGAAAAAGAGGAGAGAAATAAAAAGAAAGATTCTAAGTGCGTGAATGCGTACGTGCGTGTATAAATCGCGTCGGTCTGTCTGTGGGCCGCGCTGGCTCCGATCATGTTCGACGATCAGTACCAGCTGACTCGTTCGTCGGCACACAACGTGTTTAGACGACAATGCGTCGTCGTTCGTACCAACGATTCCAACGTCAATAATTTAAACAACGATAACAAGGTGGGAAAAAAAAGAAGGGGAAGAAGAAGAAGAGGAAGAGGAATAAGATAATCGAGTAACGAAGTGAATGAAAAAATTGGAAGGAAAAAAAGCGAAAGGAGAAAATAGAATTTTTCTATCAACTATTGTGTCCTATACGACATTTCCTTGTGCCGCCGCCACCGTCGTCGTCGTGTTGCTCCTCCTCGGAACTTTACTAGCGTGCGCGAGCGCGCGCGCGCACCACACACACGCCCTCCTTCCCTAACCTCCCTCCCTCCTCCCTTCGTTTCTTGCGCTCTCCCCCATCAACCATCCCTCCAACCAACCTTCCTTCCTTCCTTCCCTCTCTCTCTCTCTCACACACATACTCTCTTTTTCTCTCTCTCTCTCTCTCTCTCTTTTACACACACTCTCTTTTCCGATCGTACAATGCATACAGTGCAACGCGAACTACTTAAACGCGCTCTTCGTAACAGAGTCATAGACAAAGTATCCTAGTCACGATCATCATAATATCGTGGAAATTTGTGTCTTTTGTTACGTTTTTATATGTGCAAATAAGATAGTGTGTTTTGTTTCTTTTTGTGTGTGTTGTGTAGCGTATATCCAACCTCTCACTTTATTTCTTTGAAACATAAGAGACAGAGAGAGAGGGGGGGAGGATATAGGATAGATAAAGTTTGTGTTGGTCTGTCCCCCTGTGTGAATATGATGTGTGTAATACGTTATTATACACTTTGACATATACACATCTCTTAACGTGTGTATATTCCCTTATTCGCGTGTTGTGTTCGATACACGACGCGTCGTCGTATTCTCTCAGAATAACCACGTGGGTTTTACGATGCTACTACTGTTTGAAACGAATGCTGCAACGAAGAAGACTGCAAATCACTTTACCAAGGATATTCTTCTTAAAATTTATTCTACCGTCCTAATGTTTTCAAAGATGACAAGGACGACAACGACGACGACGTCGGCGATGATGATGAGGAAGAGGACGCCGACGACGACGACGACGACGATGATGATGATGAGAACGACGGCATCGACGGCAACGACGGCAACGACAACGACCTCCGAGTTAGAGCAACGTAGTACTGCGACAAGGATGGAGACAGGTAAAATCGATAACTGATCTTAATACAACTTTTATTAATTGAAAATGAGAGTGAGTGAGACAGAGAAAGGAGAAAGATAGAGTGAGCGGGTGGGTGTGTGGTGGGGAAGAAAAAACAAAGAAAATATACGTGCTAAGAGACACGTGGTGAAAAAAGACGCTATTCTCTGTCTCTCTCTCTTTTTCTTTTTTGTTTATATATTTATATATATATATATTTTTTTTTTAATTCTTTTTTTGTTTGTTTGCCTGACTGTCTATCTATCTCCTGTTTGTCAGTCAGTCAGTCAGTCAGTTAGTTAATCAGTCAGCTTGTCTGTCTGTCTGTCTTTCTGACTGACTGACTGACTGACTAGCTGACTCTTATGTTAGTCGAATTTTGCGTCGTAAGAATAAGCAGGGTAGGTAGTGCGCGTTAGAACGTCGACGTCCGGACGCGATCGATCGTTTTCTCTCTGGTACGGTTACGGTACGTAATACGTCGTCGTATTCTACTATACGACACCAACGTTCGTGCCGTTCAAACGAAAAGGAAGGATTTGCCACGCGTTACATATAGAACAATTAACGATTATATATATATATCATCACATATACACACGCATACTACTCATTCACACATCGTCTTATATATTCATCGTAACATTCGTTTCGTGTATTTACAAATATTTCATTTCATCGTTGGTCTATCTTTCTTGGTTAGATAAGAAAAAAAATGTTTAATGTGAATAAAGATAATATTTGTTAGAAGTATTAAGATGGAGAGAGAGAGAGAGAGAGAGAGAGAGAGAGAGAGAGAAAAGAATTATTACTATAATAATAATATTATTATAAATTAGTTTCGTCAAAAATAAAGAAGATAAAGAAGAATGAAAAGAGAAAAAAAATAAGGCGAAGAAGTCAGTTCGGAACGTTCGCGTACGTTTCTGAGAAATTTACCGAGGTCTTCGGCATTTAGATCAGTAAGGCATTTTTGTAAACAAGCCACTGTCGCCACCGCCGCCACTACTACTCTATCTCCACCCTACTACCACCCCACCACCATCACCACACCACCCCACCAACACCGTCGTCGCAGCCGCCGTCACTGCTATCGAACGTTTACGCGCGTTGTGTCCACCGAGTGCGTTTTTACCCTCTGGCTCTGTGTGACGTAATCCATTCAAGCTTACTACGCAATACGAACGTGGCCGGTCGTTCCCCGCCACCCTCATCCCTCTCCATTCGATTCTTTATCTTTCTCTTATCATCGCATCTTTCTCTCTCTCTCTCTCTCTCTCTCTCGTTTCTTTTTTTTCTTTCTATAGTCCCTGAATTATAACGTTTATATTTATCTTTTTCTTCTTTTTTCTTTTCTTTCAATCCTATTTATTCAAATTTTTGTTCTCCCTCTGTTTCTTTTTTTTTCTTTTTTAGAAAGTTTCTTAATTATAGTGTTTATATTTTGTTTCCTTCGTGTTTTCTACACGCCGCAATACGTCATTCGAAAAAATTCGAAGAAAGCAAGCAACATTCGAGTTTTTCCCTCTACGAGTTTATTCTTTTCTTTCCCTCTTTGTCCCTTTCTAAACCCTCACCCCTCCTCCACGTATCTTCTTCATGGTCGTCGTCGTCGTCCGTCGTCATCATCACCGTCGTCTCTTATGCATCGGTGGAAACATGAATCGACGACGAGTGGCTGGAACGTTGACTCGTGTTTTCGAATAGGGTAACGTGCACTCTTGTCTATTCATCTTTTTCCCCTTCTTTCTTTCTCATTTTTCATCCTCTATCTTTTTCTTCTTCTCCTTCTTCTATCTTTTTTACTGTAAATATATATATATATATGTATGTATGTATGTATGTGTGTATGTACGTAGTAAACTGAAAGAAGCTTTCGAAAGGCACGCTCTATGCGTTCACTCACGTTCTTTATCTTTATCCTTCTCTCTCTCTCTTTCTTTTTTTCTCCCTATTTTTTCTTCCGTTTTTTCTTATCAATAATGCAGACGTCACCGTTGACGGTGTAGACACACAAAAAAAACGAAATAATGTTTAGAAGAAAAAAAAATAACAAAATAAAGGTATAATTAAAGTTGTTAAGAGTTTTGATAATAACCTCTTTATTTATCTTTCAATTTTAGTTAAGATATGTTCCTTTCTTGTAGAAAAATAATATTGCTAGCACACCACATACACACACACACACACACACACACACACACCTACATACGTATATGCACGTACACATTTATATTTATAGATATTCCTCTAAGTTTTTTTCCTTCTCTCTCTCTAACACTCGTGTATTTGGAACTTATGGTGCATACGGGTATATTATGGGTGACGGGATCAAGTCAAGGTGTTGTATGTATGTATGTGTGTTATGCGCGCGCATACACACACATATACACACGCATACAGGTCGCTAGACTTATATCTCTACCTCTATCTATCTTTCTCTCTCTTCTCGAAATAACTGGCATTCCATAGCGAAGTACGCGTACAACAACCTGTTCGAAGGTGGAACTAGTAAGTAAATGAGCGACGTGTGGTCTCCTGTAAACCACTTCATTCTCTTCACTCTTTTATATATACATATATAGTTTATATATTTAGTTACCCAAGAAATTCGTGTCGATTAATATCTTAAATATGTAACACATTTTTTTTTTAAATGGCAAGATTTTTCCGACCAACCTATAACTTATTATATACCTCCAAAAGTTCTTACCAATTTTCACCAAAATTGTTGTACGTATTTTAAATAAAAATATTAATAGAATATTCAATAGGATTAATAGTTCATCCAAAATCTCGGTCATATGTTTTATACTCGATCTTTAAGTTTGTGAAAAAATATTCGATTCGAATTAAGGGTAAATTTATTTTTACATCGTTTATATTCTCCAATTACGCTGATTAATGAAAATCCTACTATATACATTATATTTATAAATCTGCATCTCAACACTTTCCGGTCAATAACCTAATGGTTGTAGATATGTTGTTAGAACAAAATTTTCCTGCTGATTTTAACAGAAATATTATATTTAATTAAAAGAAAATAGAATATTTTTATAAATTGGCATGCGAATTTACTGGGCACGTAACCCAATATATATCACACGCGTACACACACACACACACACACGTTATTATTTATTTGTATTTTCCTTTTTCCTACTATGAGGACTTAACCTTCACTGAAGTGCTCCCTTTCTACGTCGCAACTTTTTCTCTTTATTTATCTCATACTTCTTTTTCTCTTACACTATTTCTATACAAGAGATACGAATTTGTTGGTAAAGAGGAAGGAATGCTTATTCATCGTAAAAGCACGCGATCTAACGCGTCTTTTTTTTTTTTTCTTTTTTTTTTCTAGTTCATGCAATAAGTAAATAATAAGTAAATTCTTAAGAACGCATCATATCCTAATGCAAGAGAAGAAGAAGTATAGAAAAGATACTCGATTAGCAGAAGCAACCGACAGCAGGCAAAACCGTTACGTAAATCAAGTAAAGTGCGTTATATTTGTTATGATCAATGGCAGCGTTCAAAATACGTCTAAGTATTAATAATTTTTCTCTTTAAAATAATCCTATGTATCAGTGCATGTTTTTAAATCCAAATTTTCAATTTAGATATATAATATATCTATCTATATCTTTCTCTTTTTCTCTGGTTAACCTTTGAACTAGTTTTCAACCAATCGTTAACAAGTTATCCAACAATGTTGCGAAAGAATTTGTTAAATCTCACGAAAGATCATTATCATCGTTGTCACTCACAAGAAATGTTTATTTCTTTATGATACAGTTTAATAGATAAATAGATAAATGCACAAATACTCTTATACTTATATCTATATTTTGTTCTTTTGGTATCTGACGCGTAGTAAAATATATAGGTTTATTATTTCATTGAAAAACGTGTATCTCATTAACGTGATTACGTGCAACCTTCGAAGTCTTGTTCTTATTTGTTCTTTTGCAGACATATTGTCGTTTATCAGCTAGAACGAATTCTATCAGTAATGTAATAGTAAGTAGTTGGAATACTAGTAGTAGTAGTAGTAGTAATAGTCGTAGGAGTAGTAAAAATATTGGCATGCTTAAAAGTTATGTGGGACATTAGTAATGTTGCTATAGGATGCGTCATCATCTAGCCGGGCCTAAATCCGAAAATTATCGCTCACTCTTCGTGTACGAACTCACGTTATTTATGTATGTATGTGTGTGTGTCTATATCTATCTATCTATCTATCTATCTATCTATCTATCTATTTATTTATCTAGTAATCTAGCTAGCTAGTAAGTTAGCTAGTTAGGTATTTACGTAAACGTCAGTTTTAAATCGTCGTCTTCTTCTTCTTCTTCTTCTTCTTCGTCTTCTATTCTTCAAAGAAAAATACTCTTCTACGTTTCCGTGTGAGTAAACGATCGTTTCTTTCTCATTAACTACGATCCGTCTTGGTTATTAGCTAGCTCTGGTAGTTACGTACGCAATGAACGAAAGAAGGAGGTTGTGTAGGATGGGATAGGGTGGTCTGGGATGTTGGGAGGGTGATAAGGGGGAGTCATTGTGGACGGGCAATATATCCTAAGGGATGTTCGAGGAGGATATTGCGTGTCGTTATTTGCGGACCGGTTGTATTTCTCTCTCTCTCTCTCTCTCTCTCTTTCTCTTTCTATATCTTCTTTTTATCCTTTTTCTTCCTTCCTTCTTCTCAGCGCAGTATGTTTCTTATTTCGTTTCACGTTGCGCGTGTTTTCACTTGGCGATATATGTCGGTAGGTGGTCAAAAGGCATTCTCGTAAAACGCGCCCGGGAGAAAGTGTAATTAACAATTAAGTGATATTACGTGAGACGCCGTTAGTAATACGATTTATTGAAATAATATTATTTGTCGATTGAAATAATTTGGGTCAGTATTTTTTGTTTTGTTTTGTTTTGTTCTGTTCTGTTTTTCTTATTGTGGCTTTCTCAACCTTGTTGTATATTATTATAATTATGTGTAAT